CTAGACAACCAGCTCAGGTGTTTACACTGGTTGCAGTTTGCTGGGCTGTGAGTTTAAAAAGGAGGAAGAGCACAGTCCTTACCATCCCCTAGATGTAGTGCTGGAAGAAGACTCGAGGGGTCATCTATTCCATGCCTAGATCAGCTCCATCACTATCACTGCTAAGGCTCTTATCTAGTCCCCTTCTCCATCATCATTCCTCAGACAGTCTCAAGGTATTCAGTCTTTCCTTTTAGAAGAGGTTTCCTAGACTATCTTGTCATTCTCACTGCTTTCCTCTGAACTGTCTTCTGCTTCTCCTTGTTTTTGTCAGTGTGTAGTGCCCACAGTTAGGCACAGCACCCTATCCATGGCTTCATTGCCCCAGCACAGAACAAGGGGGTTCTTTGCATGTGTTGTACATTTTGGAATTAGATTTAAGTTTTTACTGTGTGACATTTCGAGTTGGTCTTCTGCATGCAAGCCCTGGTTCATTTTCTGAAGATCAGGTATCTAATCAGTGATGCCACTACTCCATTTCACTGTTTTATTCTGCCTGTGTATAAAACTTGCACTTAATCTTTAAACTGCATCTTTATTGTTTTGTCCAGCGTATCGAGGTCACTTTGAATTTCTTTCCTGCCCTCTGTAGTTTCTCCTGGCCCAGTATCTTCTGCAAATTCAGTAAAGTTTGTCTATATTCATCATCCAGGTAACTGTTGAAAAATACTGAATAACCAGAGATCCACATTCTAACCTGGGGACCACCTTTCAATGCATCCTTCTCTTCTGGCAGTTAATCAGTGCCACTCAACACGCTCTTCCATCCGACGCAGTTCTGAGCCATTTTAAGGGCACTTTCTTTGCAGGGATTTTCCAATCACTTTTGTACTCTACTCATGATTCATCTAGGTTATATTTCCATAACTTCACAGATAATGTAAAAATTCTTACTGAAATCAAGCAGAGAGACAGGGTGCCTTGGGTAAGGAGCTCACTGCAGAGGCTGTCTTCAGACTTGTGCACTTTACAGCATTAAATATACCTCATTAACTATACTTGATGGTAAAAAAGGAGGAGAGAAGGAACAAAGATGATTATGTGATAATACGCTTCCTTTATCAGTTTAAGTTCCTGATTTTTTTTCTGCTCAGGCCAAAGCACTGGTGATTGCAAGTAATAATGGGAAGGAAGGCATCTGTACTATTCAGTTGAATTTGCATGGGGAAATATTAAAGAACCCAATCTAGGCACTGGTGTGTTAAGGAAGTTGTGCCAGTACTCACTACGTGGAAACTAAATATATCAAGAGTTTTTCACATAAGCCAGGAGTTCAGCAGGACACCAAGTCTGAGGAGAAAGAGACTAAAAATTCAGTCTCCTCCAGATGTGCTCGTTAGACACTGTTTTATTGTAGTAATAATGTGCTTGGTGTTTGATTTCTGGTGGATTTTTGGCTGCTGCTGTATACTAACCTGATAATTCTGGAGAACAGCCAAAAAACCCCAACACGATGATGATGTTCTGGTTTAGCCCCAGGCACCAACCAAGGAGGATTTGATCAATGGATTTAGCCCAGCACTGAGTACTGGGTTTGCAAGGCCCCTTTCAGTTTTATGGTCCTCGCATAGTTTATCACAGAACTCAGTGACTTCAGTGAAAGGAATAATTAATAAGAGTATAATAAACCACATCCAGAATGTCTGACAGGAAAGACTGTTCTCAGTCACTAAACAAAGCAATTTAAATTCTGTTTCTGAATTCAGTAGGGTTTTTCAGGATGGATTTGTCTCATGCAGCTGAAGCTGCCCAAAAGACCCATGTTTGGTTTAACCTGGTTATGCTGGTTGAACCATTGTCTGCAGATTGGAGGGAGGGAGGTAGAGAAGTTAAGAAGAGTGATTCATCTGGTGGAAGTGGATGTCTAGAAGAGGAGGTGAATCACTCTCTAGATGCTCTTATTGACTCTCCATTGACTCAAGGGGGAACTTTGACAACTGTGCTGCCCTCTTGAACTGAACCCGAATCCTTGCAAATATGCTTCATTTAAGATGAGAAATTTGTGTGCCTTGTGTCTGTCCCATCTCACTTTTACTGGAAAGAAAAAGTGATTAAAACCAGTTTGACCATTACAAATAATTAGATTGGATGAAAAATTTCTGATGATCATTTCAGGGACTCAGTATAACTAAGACTTTCCCATTCCTCTGCTTTGCAGCAGAGCTGGATGCTGCTGTGGAGGTTGGGAAGAGCCCTGTGTGGCCCTTGTGCATCCTGTGAGTCTACAATCACGATTACCATACTTTTAAGGACATATCAATGCTGATTACAGAGTTTATTCAGCTATTAAAGCCACCCCCAGACCCTCCCTAGGAAGGTCAGTATAAAATGTTATTCCCTTAAATAGAATACTTGTGTAAGAGTGATTCACAGGGAAAAAAAAAAAAGAAAGAAAAAAGTAGAAGAAAACACAAAGCTTGTTTATTTTAGTGAATTATGTGGATGCTTGCCACTGCTTTGAACTGAGAAGAGCTGCAGCAAGATCACAGTGTTGTCCTTTCTTCAAGCTGGCTTGGAAACCAGTTTAAAGAAAGGACAGACCTCCAGACCAAATGAGTTTGTGCACGAAGAGTTTTAAAAGCACTTGAAGGATTTCAAAAGGCCCTTGTTAAACCTAGACCGAAAAAAGGCTGGAGCTGTGAGCTGTGCCTGTGGTTTACTCCCTGACAACTCCATTTGTGTATCTTTTGTGGTCTTGTGGCATTGAACAAAAATAATCTTTCTAATCTTATCTGTGGTGGCCTGAGCTGCGTGACAGGCTCCTTTCCTCCCAGCTCTCTGCTGAAGCAGAGAACTTCTCCCAGCAGCAGAACTCTGGTGATCAACGGAAGAAAGTCAACGAGCAACAGAAACAGCAGCACCTTCATTTCCTCCTACACCTTCCTAGATGCTCAAGATGCTTTTTTTCATATTTCCCTCCACCACTTTCCAGGTATCCACTGAGTTTTCACGGTGCGTCCCCTCCTTTACTGCCACACTTATTGCTAATATCTCACGTTTATCATCTAAATTATAATACTAGGTAGGATTTTTTTCTCATAAGCCCTGTTTTTTTTCTGTGCCTGGATACCTTTCCCCCTTGCTGGGTCCCTGTGTTCTCACCCTGCTTTTCTCTGCCTCGCTCTGTTTTGGGTCAGTTCCTTGCAGAAGCACCACTGTTTTTTTTTCCTGGAATCGTTTAACAAACTGACCTGTTTTGCAAAGCTGACCTGACTATTTCCTTTCACAAGCCATAACCAATTTTTTTTCCTGACCTTTAAAGGGCTTAAATGCCGAGTTATGGGTCTTTCTCATGCAAACTGTGTTTGCAGCAATTAGCCACCTGGGGTCACCGTTCCTTCCAGTACAACTCACATTTCATGTTCAGACCTGGATAAAAACTCACCCTTTCTAACAAAATATAAGTGCCTATTACCCACCTACACTGAGATTTGCTACTTGAAAGCAAATGGCTATATGAAAGATTGAGCTGAAGGACTGCAGAAAAGATACCCCATCTCTGTCTTCATCATGCTAAGAGCTATGGAATTAAATAGATTGGCCAGGCAGGAACTAGAAGCAGATGTTGTGGAGTAAACCCCTGCACCTCCAAAGAACAGCCCCCATGTTTAGTGAGGAAATGAAAAAAATGTCATTAAAAGTTAAGGGTTTCTTTCTGGACAACATAACAAATATGTTTTACCAGCCCAGATGGCTGCAGAGTTCAGGGAGTTGCATATATCCAGGCATCTGGAAAAAGGTAGAGAATTGGGGTCTAAGACTTTCAGACAGATTTTTTTTTTCAGGAGTAAAACTCTGTAGATCTTTCAGTGGGCTTTGGCATGACCTTTTGCTATTATACTGTTAAATAGGGAAGATGATTTGATACTAAATCAAGGGCAGTAAATATCTGTGGAGCACGAAGCAGCCCTGGGGTAAGCAGAGCATTTTGCCCACAGCAGTTGCTTCAGAAGGTTTACTTGTTCTCTATGCCCTGTTGCATTTGGATTTGAGAGGTAATCTCCAGGCCAAAGCCTCGTAGCTGACAAACCCCCCAAGAGGACTTGTCACCTGCATCAGTGAAGCTGCACAAAATCTTTCATGGAAAGGGCAGAGGGAGATTCATCCAGAGAGAGGCAGGAGATTGATGGATGCAGCTGTAGCAGCATTTAAAAACGCATCACATCAATTTCTTAACATGCCTGCTAAGGAGGTCTAATTTATTAAGGATTTATAAGGCAGAAGTAAATGCTCAGCATGTAGTAATCATGATATAATACCACAGTTAGTTTAAATCTGCTTTTACCACAGTCTATCCCAATTACTTTCCTAGATACTAAAAGGAAATAATTTCTGTGGAAGTGGCTAAAGAAAAACTGCATAAAGTCTGATGCTTCCTTGATCATTTCCAGTTTTCCACTGACACTTGGAAGAATTTCACTGAAGCATTTCACACGCAGACAATTTAGGAACGAGGCAAAACCTTTCCCTACCTGCCAGCCTCATCCTCGTGGTTTTTTTTTGTTTGATCAAACTGTCCATCCTTCAGAACCTCAGCTGCAATTCAGAGAAACTGCAAACATGCTTACAACAAAAATAAACACAGCGTGTCTTTATCATCAACAGCAGAAGACCTCCAAAAAGCCCAAAATATAGCCCATGGAACCTTTGCTTTGTAGATAGAGCCCACAGATGCTGTCTGAGGTCCATCATCATAGATCAGACAACTATTCCACAGCGATGGTCCCTCTCCAGTATCCATCCAGCCACAGATTTGGAGCTGAGTGCCTGCACAAACCTGTTGAAATCTCACCCCTTTCTACTGACCCCAGCTGTAGTGAAACAGCTCTGGAGTCAGCAGCTCTGATGTGTCAAACCACTTCCTACTCGCGATGGCACGCTCTGCCGCGCCGAGCACGAAGCTTGATTTCCTGGATAAAAGCTACTAATACCTGAACAGAAAAGCAGCCTTTATTCTCTCCTGTGGAGCCAGACAGCAAAACAACTATTTTCTGACCAGAGTCCTCCCTGCACACACGGGGTGATGCTCCCCACGGCTCTAACCATGCAGTGACCGGCCCCTTGGCTTGGCTGGCAGCAGCTCATCGCTTCTGAGAAACTTCACCATCCTCAGCGGTGCAGCGAAAAGATGTGGACAAGCCCCATGGAGCTCAAGTGCCTTTTGATGTGGCTCTTGTTTGGATTCATCAAGGGGAACAAGCGAGGTAAAAGGCTATTTTTGCCTTTTGGGGAGGGAAAATGTGATTTTTTTTTTTTTTTTTTTTTTTTTTTGAGGGGGGGCTGTTGGAGGATGTTCGCAACATCCTGACTCCTTTCGGCTAAGGGAAGATGCTTAGAGCTTAAAGAATTTGTTATTCTAAGGAAATGAGAGAAATGGGTCTTGTGCCCACTAACAACTGTAGGAAATCCAGAGCTTTACAGGATATTTTTTGTCTGAGTAATGTATGTATCCTCCAACCCATCACTGGAACAGTGGGCAGATCAAAGCAGCCTTAGGGAGCTCTTTGAATTTGCTTTTTCCATTTTGCTTGTAACTTTAGCAAATATAAAAATAGACACTGAAATGTCAGCACCTTTGTAGGTAAAACTGATGGCAATGCTATTAGTTAAAGGGCACCATCCAAATTTGCTAGACGTACTATAGATATGAAATATTTTTTAGGCATTCCTCCCCACCAGTAGCACCTATAAATTGTGAATGGAGGCAGCTAATTCATTCAGCTTAATTTTACACATTTATAAATGGTGATACTGCTTATATTTGGCTTGTTTACTGTGACAAATGTGCACACACTGAGAAACAGTCTGGTGATATATATAAGTGTATTTGAATTTAAACTGCATTGTTCAAAGGGGGAAAGAAAAATCTTCCGTTCTCGGTGGTCCATAAAAGTGACATTTCCTGCATGTTCTGTGGTTCTGGGATGATGGTGTCCAGGTTAAGAGGTACGAGCACATACAGCCTAAGGCAGGTTCTCAGATATGGTGGTGCTGTAGCTGCTGATGGATCATCTTTAGCAGGGCTGGGAATTTTACTCGGGGCTGGCCATCTCAAGGGAGGAGTGGGTTGCTAATGGCTAAACTCATTAATGCAGGACGGACCTTCACAAACGTTTAACCCCCAGGTGATGTTTTTTGTCATTGAAGTGTTTTGCCGGTAAATGCTGCACCTTCTCTTTCACGGGGCATTTTCCCCGGCAAATGAAGTGCCAATGCCCACGGCAAGTGTTTCAGGGAGTGCGGGAGCATCACTGCGAGACACGCTCAGCCAGAGATGCGTCAGTAGGATCAGTTCTGGGATGAGTCAGGTCCCCCAGATCACACTTTCTGTATTACTGTGCCTGGAACATGCTGTGAAATTTCCTGCTGGCAAGTCTCGTTTATCAGAAATCTTTCTGGGCTTTTTTTGAAAAAAAAAAAAAAAAAGAAAAGAAAAGAAAAGAAGAGGGGTGTTAGAGCAATTGCATTTTATGCTGTTTGATGTGATTTAGTTTGCCAGTGAATGAATAAATGCAGAGCATTGCATTCTTCACTACATCACTAAGCTCTTCTTTCCTTGGCTTCCTGTATTTATTTTCAATGTCTCTCTCAATGTTTAAACGTAATATTTATTTATATATATATTTGTTATTATAACATACATTTTTATATTTATTTATGTATCTCCTTGCAAATAATATGCTAAGTTAGAAACACCACCCTTTATCAGTTAAGCGTTTTTAATTGTAAGGACAGCTGAGGTATTGTAGCTGTAAGACTTGTTCTTTTTAATTCTTTAGGAAGATCAACAAGGAGACCTGGGAACAGCCATAAGCAAAGCAAAAGGAGCAGGCTGGGTCAAAGTGGTCAAAAATCAACCATGGCTCGGCACATACAGTGCTTTTCTTATTGTTTTGCCTCTGTCTTTTCAGCTCACCCCAGCATTGCTAGTTCAGGTTTGTAAATAGATCCTGCCCTAGATGTTGTTTGGCAAAATGCACTACCAGGAATAAACATAATTAGAGGAAAAAGAATATAAAAAACCTTTGTTTTACATCACAGTTTCACCAATAGATCTCACAGTGCTTTGAGAAGGCAAAGGTCTCTGACAAACAACTGGGAAAACTAAGGTGTAGGATGATCATTCATTTAATAAAAATTAAACTATGCCTTAGTGCTCAAGAGAAGAGAAATGCTGATTTTCTTGTGAAGATCATCACATTTATCTCCTTTACTCTGCCCAGCAGCAATGCCTAGAAGCTGCAGGCATGGATTAGGCTTGAAGTGAGGGTCAAACACAAGGTAAAAGCTGGTCTGCGTTCCTACAACCTTTCCATCTTGCTGTTCATTTTTCAGAAATACACTGAATAGATTTGCAAGTTAAACCTGGAAAGGATTTAAAATCACAAAAGAAAGAATTCCATTCAAGCGAATTTCATTCACACAAGATGGGTACCAGATCTCTGTCATTTAAATGAGAGGAATTTCTTTCCCATTATACTTGCATATCAGTGCTGGCTCCCATGGATTTGAAATGCAATGCAGAATACATTAAAGTTGTCAAACACTTACAAGTGTTTCTTGTAAGGTCAACCAGAGAGCAAACCTTTATAAACCTTTCAGCTACAATGGTCCTCAGCAGCAAATCCCCAATACACAGCTACAATAAAAAACAACGGTTAAAAAAAAAAATTGTTAAATATTATGATGCTACTGAGGAAAAGTAGGTATTACAGAGAGAGATCCTGCAGTATCCACTTCTTCCTTCACCTGGAGAAATTATCTTCCCACCTCATCAGAGATGAGATTTTATGTCCTTTCCTTTCATTGCAGAAAAAATCCAATCTTTATCTACTTACAGAAAGCCACTGCTTTTGACTTTGCTCACTATTGCCTTCAGAGTGTTGCAATTTTTGCCTCCCTGCTTTCTTTCTCAATGTACAGCTTTGTTTCTCCTGTTTTCCCCGTGGCATTAAAAGCCCAGCTTTTGGATATTTTCTACCCATGGTTTCCATCCCCTGGCCCTGGTCCTGAATCTTGGAACAACCTGGCTTACTGAGCCCTTGCTCCATCTCCTCCGATGCTTCTCCAAAACTCACATTTCCAAAATCCTTCCATGGCTTTCTTCACTTGACTCCCTGTTCCTCAGCCCTGCCAGGGTAGCAGCACTCTGTCATCTGCTGTTTTTTCTTTATGTCCTTGATTTGTAAAGCCCTCAGATAAAGAATATAAAGCCCTTGTTATGTGGCACAGTATTTCATGCAAGGCCAGAAAAATCATCTACATGTACAGAAAATTTCCATCTTGACAGCTCCAGTGAAAAGCTCCATAACAATGCTAAGCCCAAAAGTCAAAGGAGGTGAGTCCTAAATCCAAATCTGAAATCAAAAGTGCTCCACAAAACCATTTTTTCACTGCTACTCAAGACAGGGACACACACACTTGTCAGACCCTTCAATTATTTTCAGAGAGGATATTCTCTACTGCCCTTTCAGCCCCACAAAAGGCAAGACTGAGAAAGTTCCAGGCAAAGAAAAGAATCTGTATCTCTGCTGCTGCTTAAAAAGCCAATTTTCTTTCTCAGCAATTTGTTTTTCCTTTTAGATGAAGACAGCAAAGGCATGGGTGTCACTGAGGTAGCAGATTTAAGCAAAAATGTGGCCAATCTATTCAACCCCCAAGTGTCGCACACCAAAACAAGGCTCTCATGTATGATATTCTCAAAACTGACTCTGTGTCCTGCTACCAAACCGTGTGCCGTGGTTGCCTTTAAAGAGTTTGAGCTCTGTGGCTTCACCACAGAACAAAGGATGTTGTAAACACCCAGAAACAAACACAAATGTTCCCCATTCTTCGCTTAGTACATTTTCTGTGCAGCACTCTGTGCTCAGGCTAGTTTTTCTCCCTCTCCCTGCTTTAGAAAGCACTGTCCCTCCTTCCTGTTGCTCTTTCAATTACAAATTTTCAGTCTAAGTCCCCAGCTCAGCTTTCCTGCTAAAGCAGGAGTGAGATTCATCAATGCATTAGGTCAATCACCCTAATTATCAGTGTGAGCAGATAAGAGCGTCCTTCCACCACTGTAGCTGGTAAAAACAGAGAAGCACCTTTAAGCTTTGCTTTGGAGAAGTTAAATTAGGTGTCTGCTGTCCTCTAGAGAGGTCTACCCAGCTCCACTTCTTAATGAAGATGCTAAGAAGGCAGATTCCTGAGGCTAAATTATGCTTAGCATGAGAAAGCAAAGTCCACTGTCCAACCAACTCTACCCTTGCTGTATATGGAGTTTTTTTTTTTTACATTAGATTCCACTACCTGGGTCAGTGACAAACATCTGGTCAGCATGATGAAGCCAAGAGATAAGTTCATTTCTCCCAAACCTAGTTTTCTGTGGTCCTACAAGCAGTTAATGGACAGCTCCTCCCTGCTCATATTCCAGTTTATTTTATACTTTCTGTCTTTCCAACAGAGACATTTGTACAGCAAACTCATCAGCACTGAACTACCTAGTCCTTAGAACAGCACATGCCTCCTCTCCACTGTTGGGAATATTCAAACCCATCTCCTGCCCCTTGAGGCTGATCTCTCCTCCCTCTCTGTTTGCATTAAAACTTGTGCCTGGTCACTTAATCTGCACTGCACTTCTGTCTCTAACGCTGCAGACTCACTGCTGCTCAAATGATCTTGTAAGATAATCTCTGTGTAATCTAAGGTACAGCTAATTAAAATCCCACAGACATATTACCATAAGCTTGAGGTCTGCACTCCAACCCCACAGCTGGGATCTATTCCCAGCTTACAAATCCACATAAACAGTAAATGACATTAATAGGAGGGGAAAGAATCCTGCACAGCTGAGGCTTGCTTGTTAACAGAACCTTGGGGAGTAAGTTTTGAAGTTAGAAAAATGTCATTACCATCTCGGTCCAGTTGTTGGTATCAATTCCTTCTCTTCGCTCATACCAGTTTCATCTTCAAGAGACCATTTAGAGAGCACACAGTTTCCCACAGCACATGAATCCTCAGGGCTGCTTTGCCCCTTCAGGCACATCTGGGGAATTATCTTCATTTTGGCCTGGTTTGATTTCTTGCTCTCCCTGGGGAGAGGTGCTTTTCCCCTCTGAACTGGGCAGGTGTGTGAAGTGCCCGGTTTCTTCCACTGCTTCTACCCAAATCTTCAGAACGTCCAGTTTCCTACCGATCCTATCTCACTGCCTTTGAGTTTAGGGGAAAATCATTCTATTTCTGCACCTTGACGTTTTAACTTCACATCAGAGTAATGTCAGTGCTGGTGTGACACACAGCCACGTGACAGAGGAAATTCTGAGTTCAGGTTGCCGTGGTGTGACTCACTGTCTGTGTTTTACCTAATGCTAAAAATACCTCCTGTAAATTTTCCCTGTTCACTTCTCGTGGACAAAAGGTGTTGTTCTGATGCCTCATCTGTCACTGCTCTGCCAACTCAGACATGAAAAGAAACAGGCAGGAGAGCTTTGTAAACCCTAATACTGCCAGCACATCTGCTGACAGCAGTTTTGTGGTTGGGTCAGTAACACATTTGAATGGGAATCCTCAGGGAAGAAACCCAAGTGCTGAAAGAACTGATGCTGGTGTTTCTTCCCCTCCAGTAACTCCTGTGCTGATGTGGAGGTCCCAGGGGCCCTGAGACACCTCAAATGGCATGAGACACTGTAGCTTAAGTAGGAATAGCAGGAATCCCACCTATTTTTTTGGCTCAGATGACAAGGCTTGCAGGTCTCAATAAACTTATTGACTTATCTGACCCCCAGCAGAAAAAAAAAATATTTTTTAATGTTTTAATTTCTATGCTTCATGGATATCTATTGTCTGAATTCACTAGTCCCCTTCTAATTCCAAGGGTTTATCTCCATCTACTTCATGATTATAACTGAAACCAGCTCCAGAATTTCCAGAAATGCTGTAGGTACCAAAAAACCACTAATATGGGGAGAAACAGAAATTCCCCTGTGCCTTAGGAGAACTACATGTTCTCACAATTCTGCAGCTGATAGAAGGGGTAAATCCCATGAACACAATTACATCAACCTCTCTGTTTGGTCCATTTAGTACCTCTAAGTTCAGAGAAATGGATTCCCAGGGCACTTTTTGGGGTGTGTGAGATGAGAATGGCAGGTAGAGAGCTGATGAGTCTTGTGAATTAAGGAAAGGGAGAACAGTGGACATTGGGATTGAAAGAGAAAAAATTAGTGACACTAAACACCTCACCATAGGTATGAAAAATAGGGTATAGGGGCAATGGAGCTGGGCAAGGGTCTGGAGCACAAATCTGATGAGGAGTGTCTGAGGGAGCTGAGGGGGTGGGGCTCAGCCTGGAGAAAAGGATGCTCAGGGTGGACCTTATGACTCAGCCTGACAGGAGGTTGTATGGGTTGCATGTTGAGTGCCCACCTGTTCTTGAAAGATGAGTAGAAGACCACTGAAAGAGAAGCACCTCTGAAGATACATAAGATGCTTTGAGACAGTGAAGAGCAATAATGGCAATGGGTATCTTGCAATATCCATATTCTTGCACAGCTCCTCCCAGTGTGAAGACTGGTACAACAAAAAACCCCAAAGCTGGTGACTTTGATATCAAACACATTCGTGAGGAGCAATAGCACGTGAAGAAAAGCCAATGTTTTGAAAGGTTATGATGGTTGCTAAGAAGAAGGTTCTTGAGAGTGGAAGCAAAATATTTGACGTGACAGTGATGCAGTTAGAATTCAAAGGGAGGCAAGAAGAAGGTCACAATGAGATCTAGGAAATGAATCTTTCAAAATTCTTTCTGGATCAGAGGCAAGGAATATGGTAAAGGCCAAAGAAGTAGACGCTGCAGCTATTTAGATGTGAGGAGAGAAGAATTTGAGTGACGTGGATGGCATTAAAAGGCTGGATCCTGGGAAGGTTGTGTGTGATCCAGCTGCAGTGTGGGTGAGCTGATCCGGCCTGGTGGGCCTTGCTCGCCGTCTCTGCTGTGCACCATTTCTGCACAATCTGATGTGTGCAAGTTCAGAAGAACCCAACTTCATTTGATCATCAATTAAAGCAGTGTTTGCCCTTTGTGATGAGTAGGTTAAATGTTGTGGGTTTTCTTAAGAAGAGACTAATGAGTTGTAGGTTTGAGCGCCTCGTGCTGAGATTCACATCTGCAGTCTGCTTCAAAGAGGCTTTTGAAGTCTTGAGGGAAACATGCTTTTAGCTTTCAGGGAAAGTGAGAGTACATGATGTCAACTTGCTGCTAATCTGATAACTCTTTAATTTTAATCGCCCTGACAGTCTGTGGTAAACCGTGTGGTTAACTATTTCGGGTGCAGTTGCTCCTCTCAAAGCCACACTCTGATGTAGTTTACAACGTGAATCCTTTGATAGCACAAAGACACAAGGGGATTAAAACATCCCTCATGCAGATTAGCTGTTAAGCCGCTCACATGTTTTTCGTTGTTGCCTTCTTCAAACTTTGTGACTTTTACTTAAGCAGCAAGATAATGAAAAGTAAAATAAAAAGGGCAGAAAAGATCGAAGTGAGGAAACGAAAGCAAAGGGCACTGCAGGGCTGGGGCTGGGAGTCACAGGTTGAGTTGCTGTTGGTCTTTCAAGGAGAAGGCACTTTGGGAGTCAGGAGCAGACACAGATGATGAACAGGTATCAGGGATTCAGAGACCTTTCACAGTCATTCTCACTGGTTGCTAAGGCTGCATTAATTACAGCTGCAGAAAATGTGAGGACAAGATGACTGAGAAATTTTACTCATCATAGCTGTTACTGTAATGCATAAGCATAAAGGGCCACAGATTATGCACCCAAAGATGCAGAGTGCCAGCCCTGGTGCAACCAGCCTGTCTTATCTTTTAATTTCGCAGCCTTTAGTCCTTAAATGATCATTAAGTAGTGCCTTTATCAACTTCTGGGTCTCCAGCTCAGCTTCAGAGAGCTTTTCAAGTGCACTGAAATGATCTAGCTTAATTCATTCCAACTTATTGAGAAGTATATATAGATGTGATTTGCTGATCACAAAAGCAGTTTGTGCCCTTGTTTTGGGACAAGTTATATTTAGGTTTGCAAACTTATTTCACAGTAAACTGCTCTTTGGTGTACACAGACAGAACTGTGAGTCTACACCCATTCCCAGGGTTTGCTTATAGGTGACTGCAACTTTTAATGACTTTGTTTGGTTCACTGTGCCTCACTCCATAGGCTCAGGGCTGCACACTCTGGTCCCACTAACTGCTCTCCAGTATGATTGTGTACAGCTTCATTAAGAAAATGTTGATAGTGCTTCGTGTTGCCCATCTGCTGGACGTGCCTGGCATTGAGAAGACTGAAAGATGTGAGATGGATAAAGTAGGATGACAGGCTGTCCTTATCCTCAGGCTTTCTCTTTGCAGAAAATTGCCCAGATCCTCCAAGGAGGGAGTTTGCTGATGTTGGTGCTGAAGCGTATGTGCCAGGGACCAAGCTGTACTATGCATGTGACAGTGGCTATGACAGAAAAAGTGGCCATCACCCAGGAATTCAATGTAACAGTGGACAGCAGGGTGCCTCTTGGGACGACAGTGGATTTGAATGCATTGGTAAGTGAGTGTTGTCCTTTTTCTGTAAGTGGACGTGTTTTTCCAATGCATTAGTTGGTATAAAACACATCTGGGCGTTAACAAATTATTTTTGTGCTTGTCTTTACAAGTTAGAACTTGAAGCAATTCTATCCCACCTCTGAAAGTCTGGGTGCTCTGCCTTTGTCCTTCTCTTTGTCCTGATGTAATTCAGGAAATGTAACTTCTCCTCAGATAAGAAGACTTTGCTGTCAACGGGTCCCACGGAGGAGTTACATTTTACACAGAAGCCAGAGAGTAAAGCACAAAGCCCTGCACCCCAGAAGCAAGAAGACTTTTCAGAGTCTGATCAGAAAGGTAAGTAGGAGCCCATCCATTACTTATAACACCTCTACAAGAGGTGTTTTTCTAATGAGTTAGTCAATATAAGACAGATCTGGGTACCGCTCTAACAATTGATCTTTTGTGCTTATCTTTGCAAGTTAGAACTTGAAACAGTTCTATCCCACCCCTAAAAGTTTGGAGGCAGTAGCTTTACTCTGATATTCATCCTGCTGTAATTCAGCAACTGTAACTTCTCCCACAGACAAGATAATTTTCTTGCCCACAAGCTCCTACAATGGAGTTCAAATTTACACAGAAACCAGAAAATAAAACAAGGAGCCCTGCACCCCAGAAGGAAGAAGACCTTTCAGAGTTTGCCCAGAAAGGCAAATAAGAGCCCATTCAATAATGTAACACTTCCATAGAAGCAGTGTAAGAATGATGAGTAATATTTAACAATTTTGCAGACAGAGGGAAAAAAACGATAGCTGTAATATCTTGGCTGAGCAAGTGATATGCTGCAAGCGAGAAGGAAGGCTTGGTAAATCCTGCTTGCCTGTACTTTGTAAGAATACAAATCATAATTTTCATGAGCAACAGCAGTGTGTAAAATCTATCTGCTTTAGCCCTGTGCTGCCTTCTGATCCCACAGATTTTTGCGGTCCCCCCCGGCCTGTTCCGCACGCCTCCATAAGACCGAAGAAACCCTATTACTTGGGACAGGTGTTACATTTCAAATGCCAGAGTGGTTACGATAAGCTGCCCCCCACCTCTGGCACCAGCACGTGCAAGAAGGTGAACGGCAGCATCGTCTGGACCCCCCTTGACCTGCGATGCACCAACGGCAGCATCGTGTGGCCCCCACAGACCACTGAGCCAGAGATGGTTTTTACTACACCACAGACCACTGAGCCAGAGATGGGTTTTACTGCACCACAGACCACTGAGCCAGAGATGGGTTTTACTGCACCACAGACCACCGAGCCAGGTGAGATGGTTTTTATTGCACCTCATCACTGTCGTGTCCTGTTCATGCAGGGTACAGACCCCCCCCAACTCAGCACATCAATCCTAGGGAGGAACAACCTGCTGGGGGGTTTGGGATGGAGAGATCAGGGAACCCATCATTTCTGACTGCTGGAGATGACACCTCTGGGGAGGACCCAGCTGCGTCCTGCTTTGTCTTTCATGCTAACTGCAAAATTGCACCTGTGACAGCACTGAGGGTTTGGGGCTCCCTCTAGGCAGCAAGAAGAGCTACTGAAGGTGGGCAGACCCAGCTGTCCCCACCCTCTACAGTCCTCAGGTTTCTATGACCCTCCTCTGAGTCAGAGAAGTGAAAACGGGCTGAATTTTAAAGAGGTGGGAGCCAATGCAAGGACAACATGAGAGGACTTTTCCTACCAACAGACTGCAGGAAGAAAAAAAAAAAAAAAGAAAGGGTTTCACCAGTACTTGGAGCTTTAAGAGGAAAATAATCTTGCAGAACTGTAGATGTCTACTGCATAGGTGCCCACATCTGAGTTGGACTGCCTTTAAAACCAACAGAGGGGGTAGGTGTTGGTGGTGCTCTGTTACCTGCCCTATTTCACATCTATTTTGGATGAGTTACACCATATAAAGGCTTGTTTCTCCTCAGTGACTGTAGCTCAGCCTGGAGGACTATCTCAGAGGCCACACAGAACAGTAGGTGAGAGGAATTCCAGCCCCTGTGACCACAGCAGACCATGTGGCAGAGCAGGATGTTTTGAGCAGCTCCTTTTGTTTGCAGAGTGACCTCTCAGGTGACACTTGGCCATCATTGCCTCTTGGTGCTCCTCTGACTGTAAGAATGAATGGCCTGACTCACCAGACACATTGTTTCAGCATTAACCCAGGACTTTGTCCCCTATTTTGTAGATCCCTCTGTTTCCAAGTGGTGCCCAGTTCAGAGTGTTCCAGGTATAGCAGTAATGTCTGGTCTTTCCTCTTCCATTGAAAATTTCACTTGGTACTATCCAAATGAAGGCATTTCTTGCTGTGATGGGAATAACCTACCAATATACCAGCCCTAGAAAATGATACAGCCTAATGAATGGTCAGAAATTACAAGTATTTTAAAATTAAAAATATTTAACAATTTTAAAATTAGGATTATGAATGATAAAAATGAAACTGGATAAAGAAATAGGCCCTCAGCCTTTAATTCAGCAGAACAATAATTCCAATTTCCTGCAAAATGCACTCAAACCTGAGCAAGGTCAGGTTCTTGTAACTGGAGCATCAAATATTTATTCCCCTATAGTGTTGCCTTTCTATTTGTTATGATGTGATGTCTTCAATGAGGCTTGATAAGGAATATCCTCCCCTTTCTGAGTTCTTCCCCCCAGCACTCAGCACAAAGAGATTCATCAACAGACCACTCTTACAGAACCTCTTGTTAAAAACCTCCATATCTCATAATGGCACAAGTTCAGAGCTTCCTTCCAGGGATAAGAGAGAAATCCAATGAATTTTTCACACCAGGGAAGTTCTAGCTTGGATTTCTGGGCAAAACCACACCCCGTTTGAAACCACGTTTCCAAATCCTAGCCTGGCGCCTTGAAATTCATCCTTCCCCCATCTCATACGAAATAGAGATCTCAGATGGATCTCATTCCAATTCATGCCCACCATTAACAGATATCATATCAGCACATATGTTCATATCCAGGCTGCAGACACCTACTGATGGCCAAGAAACAAACATGGCAATTATTAAGTCTTCTGTGCAGAGGGGAAGCTGTCAGACTGTACCCTCACCACTGCTTTGATGATGGAACAACCTGATTCTTTGTCTGACTGTGTTCTCATCACTGCTCTGATGCTGTTTGTCAGAAGGGTAAATTGACACAAAAATCAAGGACTTCTCTCTCTTCATAGGTTCAGCTCATCCATCCTCTTCCTCCTCAGTGACACTGCCAGTGACAGGTATGTCATTTTGTTAAAGACTTCACTCCATCACCCAGAGCAGTTATTTTGCCTTTCAATTTGCTGTTCTACCAAACAGCTCCATTTCTGTTAGGAAAGCTAATAAATACACTTCAGGACAAACCCATGTACATGTATTGGACAAGAAGTTACTAAAGACAGTATAAACAGATTATTTAAGCACTTGAAATTTTTATAAAGAAGATTTCTTAGGCTCATAAGGGATGTAAAAGAAAACAGATCAACCAAAAATCTAGTTTTCAAATGAAGCCATTTTCAGATTATTCTCCGAGACTTTCTGTGAATTCAGTGAATCACTTCAACTGGAAAAAAAGCAGGAAAAAAATGTAAATATTTAAATGACGTGTTTCTTTCACATTTTCAAAGGACTAAAAAAAGATGGTCAAACAAAACATTTCCTCACAGCTAAACTGATGCATTTCGATCAGTCTGCAGAGATTTTCTTCTTCCCCTTCCCCATCTTCTATTCAACCATTATCTGCTGAAATAGAAATTGTCTCTTACTGTTCCTGTGCTCAAGACTTTGCGCAAGGGCTCTTGATTCCAGCTGGAGTCTGCCAATAACTGCAGTGCATGTTATAATGAGGAGGAATAATGGTGTGACATAAAGGAAGGAGGGCTATTGGAAACTACTCCAGAGACCACAACATGAGTAGTCCCTGGCCATTTGGCTGTGGTCAACCTCCAGTTGCCCAAGCTGCCTCTGGATGGGTCCTGTTTGCCCCAGGGAGCAAAGCAATGGGGCAACATTGGAAAATTCTGCATTAATTAAGATTACACCAGGTGCTAACCATATTGATTTTCTGTCCTAAAAGCTATCTGTTTTGCCCTACTTGTCATTCCTGCTGTCTTTGTGTGACTCACCAAGCAGACAATAAGGTAAGTGGGATGGAACGAGGGAAATGTGAAATCTAAACAAAAAATCCCCAGCAGTGGAAGAGTTATTGACCACATCAGCCATCTCCCTGTTGCACTGCTTAGATTTCTGAATACCTTCCTTGGTATTAAATAAGTGGGTTTTGGGTTGTCTGGTTCAGTTTTCAAGGACTGGCACAAGAGAATGAGAGCTTTTGAAACCAAAAAACTTTGGAATGGGTTGCCCAGAGAGGCTGTGGGCTCCCCATCCCTGGAAGTGTTCAAGGCCAGGCTGGATGGGGCTCTGAGCAGCCTGGTCTAGTGGAAGGTGTCCCTGCCCAAGGCAGGGGGAGTTGGAACTAGATTACCTTTAAGGTCCCTTCCATCCCAAACCATTCTGTGGTTCTGTGATTCTAAAATGCACACTTAGTCCCAGCCAGTGTGGAAGTGAGAATGGCAGTTCAAACAATGGGCAGAAAATTAACCCCATGGGGAAATGAGGGCTAATTATGCAAATATGTTGGTTTCAGATAAGTCTGAGCAATCAGTCTTCCTCTCCCTGGCTAACTAACCTGGAAATGTGGGGAGCATCTGCCACCACAACCACGTAATTCTTGTTTCCCTCATCCCCCTGATTGCTGAGTCACGTCATGACAACTTTGTGCTTCAGACCTGTTTCAGTCTGGCCTCCTTGCTGTTTCTGTTACTACACTGAGATGCACCAAGGCAGTTCCTGTCCCTTAGCTGTCCCCAGACTAGTTAAGCCAAGATGTCCCTATCTGACATTTGAGAGTTCTCCTCTTCTCCTCCCTCTTTGCTAATCCTCGTCCCCATTTCTCTTCATGTTCCTTTCTAGTAACTGGTTGCTCTGTTTCTCAGCTGAACGAGGATTTTTCTTTAAAAGGAGGAAGGGAGGACCTTGTGAAACCTCATCAGCAGTGGATTTTTGCCAGTTCACGACAGGATAAAGCCATGTAATGTGTAGACAATATTTCGAAGCATGCTTTAGTAAAGATGGTCAAGCATGGTGCAGATTGTAGGATTTTGGGCCATTGTAGGATTACTGAAAATATAGTAAGTGAAGAAGTGTCAAGAATTATCTACATTTCACTGGCCCTGTGGTGGAAGAAGTGATGAAATTGCTGATACCAGGCAAGATAGTAACTGAGTAATAAATGAAACTAACTGAAATCCTAAGTGGTATCTTCTGACAAAAAGTACTCTATGGTTCCTCATAGTAAATATAGAAAGATCCATAGAAAACTTGCTTCTTCCCTCCTGTAGTAAAGTCTTTTTCCTGTTGTAGGGAAGACTTCTCAGGGAATTGCGGTGTTCAGATGCAAACTCGTGATATCGATGACTTGGCACAGAAGAAAACAGATTGGTGCAGCAACTCCAAGACCACCAGTGGCAAAAGAGGAGGAAGCCTGGACACTCAAATCCAGTGCGTGAAGGAGGCAGAAAATATTACAGCTTAATTGTTACGGAGATAGAGTGAATTTCCACCTGCAGAGTACTGGTTGAAGGAGTGCACCCCATCACAGATAGATGGGGAAAGACCCCTGCCTGAAACTGCTTCCCCAAAACACTTCTCCCTGTCCTGGCATATAGCATTGCTGATAGAACTGCAGCCCCTCCCAAGTGTCCAGGAGTACACACGGACCACTCAACCAAGAGCTCTGGATGATGGCACTCTCATTTCAGCCCACACAACACCTTCCCCACAAACAGACCTGCTTTACTGGATGCCTGATGTGTCCCCCCCCTGCCCCTTCCCTGCTCAGATGGGTCAAATGCAGTCACACTTTCCTCCTTCTCAAACTGTTCCTCTCGGAAATTAAGCCCATTTACCCCTCTGCACACAGGCTGAAAAGCTGACTGGATCCACTTATAGTTCACTGTATACATGCATTCATCATCACCCCCCTCTTCCCAACTATTTTGGGCCAGTCCCTTCCACAACACTTGCTACGTTATTGCTCCAGCTCAGACAAGGAAACTGCAGATTGTGGCAGCTGATTAATCGGACAGCTCCTTTCATAGCTGCAGAGAGAGAGAGAGAGAGAACCCAGAGCAAAGGCATTTGAGGACAGGCTCAAACACACACAATACTTGACATGTACTTACATTGCTGGGAATTGGTGAAGTCTGAATCGTTCTTCTGCCTTTTTTTAGCCACCTCAGCCTGGTAAGATGGGTTTAATCTGGCTGATTGCAAGTGTCTGTGTCTGAGGCAGGCAATGGGGAGGAGCATGTCCCTTTATAGAGCAGTTTGTCTCACCCTGCTGCCTAAATATTTGTAATAATAAATATATATTGTATATTATAATAATAAATATATCATTATGTAATATTTGTTCATATTTATTTATTTATTCCACATATACACACAGACACCTATATACATGAGGATATATGGATATAGATAGAGATATACAGGTAAAATGACTCATGGTCTACTGACACCTGTTTCTCTGCATTGACTTGAACAATTCCAGATTGACCAGATTAACTATGGATGCTTGCATGGCATATGACAAAAGCCAAATGGGATGGATCCCTTCCTTATAATTCAGAAGGCAGGAGGTCTTGGTGCAGAGTTTTTGTTTTGAGAAAAAGTGTGTATGCCATTCTCTTGCTGGCTTGTATTCCTGTTGACTTATTCTGACTCCTTAGCCTTCATATTTATATTTCCCATGGCTTTTTTTTATTCCTGTTGGAATAGGATTTATTTGTAAGGTGTCTTTTACCAAGTAAACCCTCAGTCAGGTCACGGATAACACTAAGTTGGGTGGGAATGTTGATCTGCTGGAGGGTAGAAAGGCTCAGCAGAGAGATCTGGGCAGGCTGGATCAGCAGGCCAAGACTAATTGGATGAGGTTCAACAAGACCAAGGGGTGGGTCCTACACTTTGGCCACAATAACCCTGTGCAGCACTGCAGGCTGGGGACAGAGTGGCTGGAAAGCAGCCCAGTGGAAAATAAACTTGGGGGTGCTGGTCAACAGCAGCTGAACATGAGCCCAGAGTTGCTGTGGGAGATAAGGCTGTTTAACCTGGAGAAAACAAGGCTCCATGGAGACCTTATAGCTCTCTACAACTCCCTGACAGAAGGTTGTGCCCAGGTGAGGGTTGGCCTCTTCTCCCAGTCAACCAACCTGACGAGAGCACACAGTCTCAAGGGGAGGCTCAGATTGGACCTCAGGAAGAATTTCTTCACAGAAAGGGTGATTAAACACTGGAATGGGCTGCCCAGAGAGGTGGTGGAGTCACTAGCCCTGGAGGTATTCAAGAAATGCCTGGACATGTTACTTAGTGGTGTGGTCTCATTGGCAAGGTGGTGATTGATCAAAGGTTGGACTCGATCGTCTTGGAGGTCTTTTCCAACCAAACTGATTCTGTAATTCTGTAATTCTCTGATATGGCCCTTCACTGAATGAGTAGGAAGGTTTGAAGGGAAAAGTAGAGGAAGCAAGGGTGAAGAAAGTCATTTTCCTCTTCAGGCATTCCTTTTCTTCTGAGAAACTCCACAGACATGGATGGCATAAAAGGAGACAAACCCCAAAGAGGTCAGTGCTGTTGGAAGTGTGGTGAGTAGCCATTTCCACAGGCAGTGGGTATTCAGAAGGAAACTCTGCATTTGACAGTGCTGTCTTCTGGATGACTTAGAAACATAAAAACACAACTTTTTTTTTTTTTTTTTTTTTTTAAGAAGACTTTTTTAAAAGAAGACTTTTAATTTATGTCAGATGTGAAAGTACCTGTAAGTTTGATGTGTGCTTTGCAAAGAGAGGTGTGTGCTAGGACTAGTTCATGGATTTCCATTTTATGAGTCTTATCTGTCACATAATGGTTTCCTACAGAAAATTCTGGCACCATCGCTGGCACTGAGAAATTTTTAAGTGCAATAGGTAGGAGTGCCCGTCCTGTGCCACAGGAGTAGGAGCTGTGTGCTGGAGTGATCTCTGTTACTGACTGCACTTTATGGGGCTGAAGGATGGGCAGATTTGGATCCTCTGTTTGCAGATATATTCCAGGATATAAGCTGTGAGAGTTGAGGGTATTCAGCCTGGAGAAGAGAAGGCTCCAGGGAGACTTCAGGGCCTCCTTCAGTACCTAAAGGGGCTCCGGGAGAGCTGGAAATGGTCTTTCGACAAGGGTATGGAATGACAGGATGTACTGGATTTGCGTGGCCAGGCTGTGGTAGTGGGGGGGGCTGCAAGGGCTGGCTTCTGTGAGAAGCTTCTGGAAGCTTCCCCCATGTGTGGTAGAGCCAATGCCAGCCAGCTGCAGGATGGATCCACTGCTGGCCAAGGCTGAGCCAATCAGGAATGACAGTAACACCTCAGGGATAGTGCATTTAAGGGGGGGGAAAAAAAAAGTTCCTGGGCAGATGTAATTGTGGCCAGAGTGAGAACATGTGAACAACAATGCAGACACCAAGGTCAGTGCAGAAGGAGGGGCAGGAGGTGCTCCAGACATTGGAGCTGAGGTTCCCCTGCAGCCCGTGGTGCAGCCCATGGTGAGGCAGCTGTGCACCTGCAGCCCATGGAAAAGCCCATGCTGCAGCAAGTGAATGCCTGAAGGAGGCTCTGAACCCATGGGAAACCCACGCTGACACTATTTGGAACAGTTGCTAAAAAAACTTTTCTGCAACTGTTAAAAAAAAAAGGAGAAAAAAAATAAAAAAAGAAGAGGTGATATATCAACATGGAATATCTCGAATATCTGTATCTGTATTCACAAGAGCTGGCTTATATATCCCCAAGCTAAGTGATCAACAGTTTGTGTTCTGCCTTCCTTACCTGTACTCTCTATTAATCACCATCTGTCTGATGCTCCAAAACTGCAGTTTTTCTGAACGCTTCCCATGTTTGAAACTGGAAGACACTAAGCAAAACCTTCTCCTCATTTTTTTCTTTTACTTTTTTTTTTCTCAAAAAGTAAGATAAGCTTCCCCTTGCTCTCAAATCTTTTTAGATATCTAAGATGCAGAGTTTACTAAGGCACTTGCAAAGGCACCAAGTGTTTGTGGGTAGTCTTAGTCATCAAATTCCACCTGCATATAAGCCAGCATGGAACAGACAGAGAAAAGTCACTTCTCCTAGCATTTACTTTCTGAGGAGGGGAGGCAGTGCAACCTGTTTACTTCCAGCTCAGAAATCACTGATTCAACCCTCTTGAGCTTCCAGGTTTATCTGTCATGTTTATATCACACAGTTTTGTTTTCTTTGGGTTTTGAGTCTTGCCTGGGGAAAAATGTTACCTCATATGACAGGAAAAAAAAAATTAAAAAAAAGGATATTTCTCTTTAAAACATCCAATCATTACAGATACATAAAGTGATGAACATGTCTGAAATGCACTCCTTTGTTTGGAGTCTTTCAGCCTCTCTTCCATGAGGTTGAAATCTGTCTTGCCTTCTGTAGGGGAAATGATTCTTCCCTTTTCTCCCTTCATCCTGTCTGCTGTGTTACTACAAGACATGCCCTTTCTTGGGTTAAATGTGCTCCTTAACTCACAGACAAACTGCTCAGGCTGGAAAATGACAACCAGCTCTGTCAGCCTTCCAGAAGAGCTGTCATCCTTTGTGGAATTGCTACATGGATGGTCAATGTGAATGGTCCTCTAGGTTTCTTCCACTAATATTTCACTGTCTGCAGTGTCTTGTAATCCTTTGGGATGGGGCAAGCTCTGGAAGAGACTGAGATCGTCTAAAGCAGATGGTTTTCTCCAGTATTTTCTGTTGTCTTAAAACGGCTTATCTGGGGGAAACGCAAATCTTTTAGGACTGGATCTCCCAACTCTTTTGTCAGGGCAAAGTAATAGCAGTCCGTGGGGAAATACAGGCTGGGAGAAGGGATGGAAACCTTCAGGTCTGGAGGACAGTGCATGGCTGCACTCCATCTACACAGCCTGGAGCTCAGTCAGGACTCCTCCTCCCTCGGGCCATGGAAGTGCTGGGAGGAAGCTGAACCTGCATTCCCAAGGTACTGCACTGCTGCTGAACGAGGTTGGCGTTTCCTGGACTTCTTGAGCATCTGATGTAAAACCCCTCAAATCCACGGGCACAGCAGAACCCTCCGTCTGGCACTTCAGACAGATCAGGCTGATCTTGAATGCTTTTCTCTCTTACTTCCCTTTCAGTAAATGAATCTGCCTCCTTGGAAGGTTCTTTGCATTAGGAAGCATTTTGAGGCTGTGAGTTTACAGTGAATCGCCAGTCAGCAGTTCCGTGGAAATAATTTCGAGTAAAATCGGACTTTGTTTGCTGAAATAGCTGCTGCTTTCAGAGGGAACCTGAATGTGACCTGGATTGTCCAAAGCAGCTCATGTTGTAGGGGCCTCTGAGTATGTCCTTAGAACAGATCTGATGTTTACATAGACATTGCTAACCATCTGTATAGTTTTTCCTGAGCTGCTCTTAAATGGAATTCCATCCACTAGGGAAAGATATACTTGAAAATGCAAAAGACTTCATATGTTTGGGGATTTTTGTTGCTGTTGGAGCTCCAGTATTTGCACAGTCGCTGTGTGAAAGCTGAGTGCATAAATCCCATTGGAGGGGAACCCACGCGATAACCAAGAGCACCAGTAAAAAAATAAATAGGGAAACTCTCCCATTGTGTAATTAGTCTGAATAGGTTTGCTGGTTCTTGTGTACCTGGAGTGTAACTTCACAGGATCCTATCCAGACACAGAGTAGATAAGCAGTTCCTCAGAAACTGAAGGTGTAGACTTATAAAACTTCTATAATAGGAAAGTTTGGCCTTTGTATCCAAAGGCTAAGTTGGTTAAACAAACATCTAATATTGACTTGATTTCTTAGTCTAACTGTGGGTGTGAAAATAGCACATGAAAATGGAGATATTTCCAGCTGTATCCTGGAATATGGCTGCAACATTACTTTCTTCTACTAATTCCTGGCAAGATAAAGGACTCAGATGAATGAAAGTAATATTTTCTTTCCTTTTGCTAGGTTACCATTTAACTGAAGACAGGAAATTCCCAGTGGGATATTGCCTGTGAGACTTGGAAGGGGCCCTCGCGTCTCTGAGCCTCATTTCCCAGGAAAAAGCCTGTCCCTTGCAGGGTGAGGTTAAGAGATGTGCACTCCCTCCGGATGGTCAGCTGGAGATCAGCTTGGCAGTGCCACAGACAGCACGTGCTTCCTGCAGAACCACACACAGTACACTGGCTGCCCCCTTGAAAGAGATCCAGCCACTCCTGTGTGTCCAACCCAGCAGATGGAGATGGCATCTGCCTTTGCCCAGGAGATGGCAAAGCTGCAATAAAGCAGTTCCCAGCCCGCCTTCCCCACGTGGCAGCCAGAGATGCTCCTGCATGGACCAAAGGAGTTTTTCCCAGCTGCTTTCCCAAGCAGAGGACAGACGATATCGGTGTCTGGATTTTCTCGTTTCCTTCTCTTTTGGAACAGCACGTGCCAACACGTAGTTCAGTCCATGGAATCTGAACCATTGGTGTTACTGGAAAAGGACTAAGCAAGCTGCATGGTCCAACACTTTGCAGTGCAGTGGGTTTAGCTCCCAGCATCTCCTCACAGCTCCTGGGCAAAATTGTTTTTCCTTCGTGTCTAAAATCCCAGTGACACACTGTGGAATAATGGATAGAGTTAAAAGGAGAATAAGGATTACAGAGGATACCCAGCTGCTGCTTCCCACGTGTAACACAGTCACAATGCCCCACAAAGGTTCCCCAAACACTAATAAGCACCTGTTATGGGGCAGAGGGGAGCAGTGTGAAGGCACTGCACCCTCCCTTTGGAAACATCCTGCAGGGAGGGGAACATGTGACACTTTGACCGTGCCCACCAAGAAGGATAGATAGGACAACTGCCCAGTTAAGTACTTATGACTAGAGTCACCCAAGCTCCACCTAAATCTAAAGAAATAATATGAAAGTAATTTGGAAACGGGGAGAAATTGGAGGAAGATTCCACCTCAGCTACTGGGGTTGGCTGACAGGCTGAACCTGTCATCCCTCTCCACTTTAGGGACGCCTATCAGGTGAGAAATTTATTCCATGTGAGCTGAGTGTTGCTTTCAGGACTAGAGCTTGGTTTTGCTCCATAATATGTAGGTAGATTGCTTTGTATTAGTGTTTGTGTTTTCTTTATTGAATTATTAGATTGCTTTAAGCACATTTTTGCAGTTAGACACTATCGCCAGAGACCTACAAACCTTATTAACCTGTCACAAATTGTATGAATAAAGAGTATTATTCTGTAAACTGTTAAACTGAGTCCTTTATAAGGTGCTGACAGATTGCTGGCAGCGCAATAACACGTCTGTGCTGGGATCTGGTTCCCTGTGCTCAGGTGTCCAGAGCCCCTGGGGAACCTGCCTGGCCTCTGGCTGATGGCCCAGATGGGTTTGGTGTTCCCCAGGATTCTGCAGCACATCAGCCCCACCAGGGCTCTCACACACCTCAGGGCACCTCAAGGGCCCAGGATACATCTGTTTATGGAGCTGAGCCAGGCCTGGATCTCTGGTGGTTGGGATCAGACACTCACTATATCTGGAGACACCTGCATGTTGCTGCCTGACTCTGCACCTCAACCCCACCCAGTGTTTCAGTGCAGCCCCCAAAGAGGCTGGTCCAGAGTGAGGAATGAGACCCTGTAGGATGATGAACAACAGCTGCTGAGCTGATAAGTTCAGGCTCAGGCTGGTACCTCTGGAAGTGACACAGCTTGTATGAGCTGTTTGCAGCCTGATCCACTTTGTTCATGCCCATTCCTTGGAGAAGTAACTGCAGTCTGATGGGGACACTTTAGTATATTTTATGTTACTCTCACAGTGGATTTGGACAACCCTACCCCTGCAAGGATGCTCTGGGTACTGTGACATCACTGGTGGTGGAAATTTCAGCAAGAAGCAACTTGCTGAAATTATAAGATGACCCTGCAATCCAGCACTGGAGCAAATGATTTTTATTGCAAACTACTCAGGAACTACAGGATCTGGCACACACTGACCTTTGGATTGACACACTGAATGCATTGATTAGAATGACTCCACTGAATACATGTCACAAAATCATTTAGCCATAAATCTGCAGAAAAGGTTTCAGAAGCAGAGCAGAGAATGAAGTTATCCAAGCAGTTTATTGCAGAAATTTATCTCTGACTGGTCAAGGCTTCCTCTATATCCGATGTCTGAGCCTGCCTATCTTCATAGCTTCTACAATTTGCGGGTTTTAAAAGCAAGCAAACAAAACCTCGTCCCAGGATCACAGAATCACTGAACTGTTGAGGTTTGGAGGGACCTCTCAAGATCTCCTAGTCCAGACCCTGCTCAAGCAGGGTCAGCTAGAGCAGGTTGTCCACGATCAGGTCCACTTGGGGTTTGAGCCTCTCCAGCAATGGAGACTCCACAACACCTGAGGTGGGCAACCTGAGCCACCCTAGTCCCACAGCCTTCCTCAGGAGGTGAGGGATGAGTCAGCAGCACACTCTCAGGGACAGCTGATGAGGAGAGGAAGGAACTAAGACCTGTATGTGGGCATGGAGCAAAAGGCAAACAAGGCCCTTGTGGTCTCAGTGAGAAGCTCTGATTTCCTTTGCAATGGGCTCACAACAAGAGAAGGACACAAACCTGTTGGAGTGGAGTCCAGAGGAGGCCACAGAGGTGCTCTGAGAGCTGGAGCACCTCTGCTCTGGAGACAGGGTGACAGAGTTGTGACTGTTCAGCTGGAAAAGGCTCCGCCCCGAGGAGAATATGGATCCCATTCCATTACCTAATGGGTCTCCGTGAGTTTTGGAGGGGGACTTTGAACAAGGGCATGGACTTACCGGAGAAGGGGATTTAAACTGACAGAAGGCAGGGTCAGACTACGTATTAGTAAGAAATTCTTCCTCATGAGAGTGGTGAGGCCCTGGCAAAGGTTGCCCAGAGAAGCTGTGGCTACCCCATCCCTGGAAGTGTTGAAGGCCAGGTTGGACATGGCTGTGAGCAAGCTGGTCTAGTGGAAGGTGTCCCTGCCATTTTGCAGTGGGGGTTTGGAACTGGATGATCTTTGAGATCCCTTCCAATTACAGCATTCTGTGACTCTGTGACATGTGGGAAAAGCCCCCAACCTGGGATGTGAGGCTTATGTACGGGGACAGTCCTCATGGAACAGAGAAACCGCTCCCCTGGTATACAGCTGGGCCAACATTTGCTCCAGTGCCCCCAGCTTGAGGACCCGGACGTTGTTCTGGTTGTTCTGGGCAATGGCTCCCCAAGCAATCATGGTGTTGTTTTTGGTCTTGCAGCAGGCACTGGCCCAGATGTGGCTGGGTACATTAACCCTGTTTTGGGAGATGTAGGAGGTCCCAGGCACAGCCCCCACAATGGCATAGGTGGTTTGACAGTCCTTGCTTTTCTTGGCCATTGTTTTCTGCTCATAGAGGTTCCAGGCGCCGTTGTTGAGTGCAGTGTCCTGGGGCACTATGTTGGTGAAGGTGAAGGTCGCGTTCCTGCCGTCCTGGGTGTTGTGATGGGCAGCAGGGCTCAAATGGCCACGGTCCAAATTGTTAAGGTGCAGGTAGTCTTGGTAGACAGCCTGGCTATCGCTGATGTCATCTTGGCTGACTGAGTAAGTTTCTCTGAGGGTCTTCTCTGTTTCCATATCGTCGGGCAAATTGTCACGGATCAGCTTGACAGGTAAGGAAGAGAAAAGAAAATGTGTTAGTATTGGGGATGGGAGTAATGGAGCAAGTCTCCCTGGAGCAGAAGTCTCTGAGTGTCAAGACTGAATTTCTTATTGCCTCATTCATTGTATGAAAATGTATAAATCTAGAGAAATCCTATAGCTGCCCCTCCTGAATGAACACAAGAGGTTTTAAGACAAAAGAAGCTCAGAATGTGACTTCTCTCCTTTTGACTTGTTGTCGTGGTTTTGCCTACCAGGCCATCCCTGGGGCTGAGGATGGTTTTGTCCAGGTGATTTCCGGACAAAAAAACCAATCAAAAAGTTCAGTGACGCCTTTGCTAATTACATCTTTAAGAAAACGGAAGAGAAGGTTGTTGCGCAGTTGAAAATTAGGAACAGTAGCCATGTAGAAGGGTAGCGGGCCCGAGGAGGGCCAAGGCTTCTCCTCCTCGGCTTGGGCCGGGGGGCAGGTGCAGTACTGAAGCCTCTCTTCTCTCTTGTGAGAGAGTGAAGAAAAAAAAAGGTTTAAAAGACGAACTGCTTAGACGAGAAACCGCTGCAGAAGAATTCCAGCCATGAGATAACAAGACTTTCAAGGTCAAAGCTGCAGTCGCAGGAGAGAGAAGAAAAGTTCGAAGGGGGGGAGAGCTGCTGTTTTTCTCCCTTTCACTCTCCCTCCCTTCAGCAGGGTAAAGACTGAAAAATAAAACCCTGCCACCTGTGAAAGTTTGTTGGGGTGAAGAGACCCCCCATGCGGCTCACAGAGGAGCTTGTGGATGCACCAGAGATTTGTGACTTTAACAGAGAAAGCCTTATGCTGGAGTAAAAGCGGCTCAGATGAGGCAGAGTCCTGTTAAAGACTTTGTGACCCTCGAAGGGATCGATGCTTATGCTGGAGCGAGACGGCTCAGATAAGCTTGGGATCTCAGTGAGAGATCCATGCTGCTGCTTGAAGATTTATGACCCTGACGGGTATTAGAACCTACGCTGGAACACAAAACGGTTCAGGTAGGGATGTTGGGATCCATGTGTGGGATCCGTGCTGCTGGTGCTAGAGAGAACCTACGCTGGAGCAGAAAATGGCTCAGGTGGGATATTGGGATCCGAGTAAGGGATCCAGACTAGACCCATGCCGAGAAGTCAATCAAGGACTGTTCTCCCATGGGGAGGGACCTCCATAGGGAAACAGGGGTGAACTCTTAAACCATTATCCCCTGTAACCCTGTGGAAGAAGATCCATAGTAAGCAAGTGTCCCCTTGCAAGTCTATGGAAGGAGACCCTTCAGGACCTGAGTAACCCCCAGCCTTCGGTTTTAGCCAAGGAGGGGGGTAGGCCCAGCCCTGGAGGCTGACATAGAGAAGAAGGAAAAAAGGTTCCAACTGCGACGAAAGTGCTGCAGAGTTACTAGAGAGAGAGAGAGAGAGCTGGAATTCTGAGAACAGAAAAGGACTGCTTCTCCTCCTTGGACTGATATAAAGGGAAGTGGGGGGAGAAATATCTTCTGTAAATACATAATACCTTTTACTTAAGTAGAATTGTTGTAAATATAATTCTTTAGTTTTAGTTTGTTAATAATAAATACTCATACTTTTTTTCAATTCAGTCTCTTTTTGTCTGCATAAACCTTCTCTCAACTGATAGTAATTGTATGTGGGGGTGTAAAAGTAAATTGAGCCAGGGCAAAACCACGACACTTGTGACCTTTGTGATCCAACCTGCAGCCTTTGCTGGGAGTGTGGTTGGATCTATGAGACTAGCACTTTCCACTCCTAGGTTTGATGAGAAACCTTCCCTGACATATTGGTTCCACTGTGTCCCGTCTCCACACCCCACATCTGTCCAGGGCTCTCCCCAGATCCTCCCACCCCCATTCTCTCATTCTCTGATTACATGTGTGGCTGCTACAGGTGTAGCACAATCCTAGAACACCAGTGTTTGTCCCTGTAACCCGAGACACAGGGAGATGTGTTGAGAAAACAGTCCTAGAGGTGAGGTTTCCCAGGGGGCTACAGGTCACTGAAAGGATGAAGATTTTTTTGACCCATCCTGAGAAATCAATGTACTGATAAAGGACCTCTGGAGAAAGTTACCAAAAATCAAAGAGTTTGCAGGTGGCCTGGCTCCATTGTTCAGGAGGAAGAGGGCCAGGTTGGATGGGGCTCTGAGCAACCAGGTCTAGTGGGAGGTGACCCTTCCCATGGCAAGAGGGTTGGAATGAGATGATCTTTGAGGTTCTTTCCAACACAAACCCCTCTATGATTCTAAGATTCTATGAAAAGTGAGAGGCTTTTATCCCTGCCCTAAATGTGGAGGCTGCAGTGGTGCAATATCCTATTAGTTGTTTGAATTCCAATGAGTACAAAGTGCAAATGTTTTTTTTTTTTAGAACTTCATCACCTTTCTGTTCATCTTTGGGGAAACATTTATTCTCCCTCTGGAACAGGGTACATGGCTTTCTTCTCTGGTTCATGAACACCTACATTCCATCATGCTACTCTGTCCTTAGCAACTACCTTAACTTCCTCTCTCTGTTCCATAATTTCCTTGGCCTATTTTGCTGGAGGTCTGAAGGACATTTGGGAGAGCTCTGTTGTTTGTGGAGATCTGTGTGTCTGGTGGATCCTTCTGAAGCAAGCCTGAGGCAACAGTGCTCAAGGGCAACTGCCCATGGATGGAGATCACCCCCTTCTGACTGGACTGACACTGATGCTCCTCACTTTTCACTGCCTAAAATATCCCTCAATAAATTCCTCAGTGTTCAACAAACCCTCTCATCACTCAGTGCCTGGCTCATCCCACCCAATTCTGAGTTTCTCCTCACTTCTCTCCTATCACTTACAAAGCCTATTTGACTCCTAACTGGGAGCAATTAAGCTCTGTCAAGGATGCAAAACAGCTCAGGGCAAAGTGGAGTTCCCAGCCCTGCAAGATTTTGCTCCCCCAAATTTAGCTGCTGTTGGATGACTTTTCCCCATCACTGGGTCTCCCACCACAGCAGGGCACAGAGAGGGAGGTCATTTGACTTTGGAGTGGAATGGGATGTAATTTAACTTCATGTTGCTCTCAGATCAGTGAAGAAAACGGGGCACCTTTGGGATAGGACTCCTCCTGCTGCTGATGTTTGAAATGCATCAGGTGCAGGTTTCTGAAGTGAGATGAGATGAATCCCATGCAGTGGGTCCATTTGCATGTGTATATATGGGGGTGGGAGGAAATAGAGCTGTTTGGTTAAATGCTGCAGTTCATCTTTTAGTGACAGGAGGGTGACATCTGTAAGAGACAACACTCACCTGGGGCTCCACCATCCATTCTGGTGTAACTCTCTTTGCACTTACAGGGTTGTAGATGTAAGCAGAGTACACAGGAATACGATTCTGTTTGTCATACAAGGTGGCAAAGAAACGCTGGTTTTGGAAGGTCTGGCAGATCCAGGCTCGAGTTCTCTGGCAGGAGGCCATTTGTTGCGATCATTTTCTGGTAGAAAAACTGATCACATATATTTGAAAGGGACTGCACCACCTCGCCGTGTCCCAGCCAGAGGCAGCTCGCCCAGACCTGCAGCAGCAGCAACCGCAGCATCGTGGGAGGATTTCAGGTGAAGGGCTCTTGCTTCCCTGGAAGGCAAATGCAGAGGGAAACTCAGCTTGGAGAGAGCTGACTGTAGGGATTTTTAGTGCTAATATAGAGGATATGCTGCAGCTGTGAGAACATAATCTTATGTTGCTCACATAGAGGATATGCTGCTTTGAGAACATAATCTTATGTTTCAATTGTGAAAACATGATTTGTAGTTCTGATGGCCTTCTGATGGTACCAGGATGTTAAAGATCTACCAAGAGAAACAGTAGCAAAACTAGATATGGAAAACAGGGTCTCAGTACCGGCTATCAGAGTGGGAAAGGACATAAAAAATGTTAAAGAAACAAAGCTAATAGACGAGTATTGTTAGAAAACAAAGACTGCTGCTTGATTCAAATAAATGGCATTCTCTGTTCATCACATTGAGGTGCTGAGTCGTCCGTGCTCGCATGAAAACCCCACAGCTGACCATGGCCTGAAGTCATCATCTAGTCCTTTT